AAGGAAACTCTTAATTTTGTGGGCAAATTTATAAATGATAACATGTTATAGTACCATTAGTCTTTTACACATACATGCATATTTGATGTATTCCTTTTAGACAGGATTATTGTTGAAATCATTTATGTCAACTGCTAATTGTATAATTGTTTTGCTATTCATTGGCTTATCTTTTCCTTATTATTGTAACAATTTCATACTTGTCTGTTATGGGCTCTAAATTAGAAATAAAATGTTCTGTTCTGTTCTGTTCTATGTTGTAATAGAAATAAAGTTCTGTCGCCAATTGAAAGATCCGTGTTCCCTGTAATTAGAACATTTTAAGATGATTGCTCAAAGGTCTTTACTTTCAGCTTCATTGGCATCACGACGTGTGATTGACGTGTCCAGTGGGACTGTAGATGAAAGAAGACGAAGAAGAGCAACAATAGAGAGAATTTTCCTTGAAATATAGATATCTAGGCTTTGTAAGGTTTGTGTATAATTGAAAAATTTTGTGAAAAAAAGAGGCTTTAGGGTACATGCAGAGAAAAAATATAAAGAAATGTTGATTCTGGTTATGCCTACGGCTGAGAAAGATTCTAAGAATTTTGGAATAAATATCTTGAAATGTAAGGATGTAAAGGTTATTTTCAATGGTTCAAAACATGAATGTATAATTATAAAAGGCGGATCCATACAAAACGCATATCTTTGATGTGCGATATTTAGTGTTCAAGGTTTTTCAGCATCTATGAAGGACGACAATTAGTATCCTTTCAAAAACAAAACAAAATCACTCATAAACATTATAATTTCAGAAGAAGGACAACAAACTAAAGAATAACAATTTATAGACCAGGAAGATGCTTCTGATAAATTAATGTAGAGAGAACACATTAAGTCGGACAAATTTCCTCGGAGACTCTCCGTGCTGTCTCACTAGCTAATGGAAAGGCAGTTATTTATGTTCTACGTTAATTACTCTTTTCGTCCCAAGACCATGGCATTTAATAGCTGTCAACGAATAGAACAGTCTTTTTTGTATTTAAAAGTCTGAAAAGGTAATTAAATTAGGCTACGGAAGAAGGAGGACAAACCTTTTATACATTGACAAAAATAACACTACTCCAGACTTTTTTATTATTAGTGAGTCAACAAAGATAATACAAAATATTATTCAGATTTTGACATACTACATGACTAACATGATAACAATATCTTTCATTTGCTCTGAAGCCTAAACAAAACATATCATCATGAATAAATGAATTCAAATACAAGGCTAAAAACTTCTATATTCCATTATGTTCTCTTCTTGCAATGTCAGAATACATTTTCATATTGTAGGCCTTAATATAACATCGAACAGGAGCAAGAAATAACATAGATCAGGAATAGAAAAGTACACACAAAATTAAGCATTTGATACCGAGCATAGTGTATATAAGCTTAAGTAAGATGATTAAATCTGTAAGATATCGTTAAATACATATATGTTTAATGGCAAACGTGTGTAAAAAAGATCTCAGAAATATTTAAAAATAAGCGCTTTACATAAATTATTGTTACTAACATTGCATTTAAATCTTGCACTTTACATGCGAACGTATTTTCTAACCTGCAATGCATCCTGATAAAGTACATTGAAACTTAAGTACATAGAAATGTTTGGGTTTCTTTCTATGATAGATTTTAGAAAAATTTAGGCGTCTTAATAATACAAACATCTTTTGAACGTACATGTAACTAAGTGCAAATTACTTTAACAATTAACTTTAAATTACCGTGCATGTTTATAATAAGTTAAACAAATATACAAGCATGCACTAAAAAGAATATACGCAGAAACAAAACTTTAATACTTGTATAGTTATATCTTATCCCCATACATGTATCTCAAGTAAGCTACTGAGTTTATCAAAATCTCCCCAAAAAGGGTTAAATAGATTTTTATGTGGAAGTGAACAACTTTCCACTGGTCGTGGTATATCTGACGGAAGTGTCACGTGGTGCAGTGGGCGTGGCAACTGAAGAGACGGTGTGTTCATACGCAGGTGGAGGGGACATCACTCTGTCCTCAATATCCTGAACTAAAACCAAATCATAATTCAATTCACATGTGATGCATACTAGTATTGATAGATGAAATACCATCTAATGCATGCTTATTTCTATAGAAGTTTATTTTTCAAGTTTTTAAAAAAATGTTATAGTTCAATCTCAAACTACAACAATTTAAGAAATTGTATGGGCAATAACAAAGAGAACAAAATCAAACTTTGAACAAGGTAAATTAAGTACATCTTTAGGGAATATTATGTTTGTTATCACAAGCAACGCTCACACAATATACTTGAGTAAAGCATTACTATGAAACAATACATTGTTGACTCACTACCTGTCAAAATTCGGGCTCGAGATCCATCTGACCACCGAGGGTCTATTCCAACAGTGACATTCTTCTTATTGTATTTACTGATACAGCAGCAAGTGACGGAGATGATACACACAATCGCTACCACAGTACCAGACACGACTCCAAGGTACAAACTGGCACTGAAGAAGAAAATAGTGTAAAAGCCTAAAGATAGGGGAAAAATACAGGAGTCTTCTAAGGATCAGATATGGTACACAATATACTAGTAATAAGAAGCTTGGGTAGAGGAAATAATAATCCGAATGGCAATGTAGGAGTTGAGGATGAAGAAAACAATAAAGGGGTCTTGGAATGAGGGAAAGTATAGATGTTTTAAGAAAACGAGTCAATGTAGTATGTTAGAATGAGAAAACAGTGTGTGGATGAAGAAAATCTTGAAAGAGTATATAGATGAAGAAACGATGAGTGTGTCTCCGCATTCGATAACAATAAAGGAGGTTTTGGGAATGAGAAAAGCAACGTAGGAGTGTAGGTGTAAAGAAAACAATGTGAATTGATAGAAAAAGGAAAAATGATCTAGGTGTTAAAGTACGAGGAAAACAGTAGAGGTGCTCTTAGATTAAGAAAAAAACGTATGTGTCTAAGGATGAGGAAAACTTTATTTAAAGGGAATCTTAGAACGAACTAAACAATGTAGGAGTCTTAGGATAATGAAAACAATGAAGGACCAATGGGGAAAACGATGTAGGTGACCTAGGATGCAAGTACATGTATCTTAGAATGTGGAAAACACTGGAGGAATCTTAGGATGGGAGAAAACTGTAGAAGTCTTAGGATGATCAAAACCAAAGCAACGGCAAAAAAGGATATACATATGTAAGTGCCCTAGAATGAAGAAAACAATGAGGAATTCTTAAGGTGAGACTTACAACCTAAGAGTATAAGAATTAGATAAACAAAATCAAAGTTTAAGGATAAAAAAAATGCAAGAATACTGAGATGAGGAAAACAATATAAAATTCTTCAGATGAGGACAAAAATTTAGGAATTGTAAAATATGTTCACGATTGAGAAAAAAAGTTCTAATGTCAATAAAATAAAACTCTTAGAAAATAAGGTAGGTCTATTTTGATGAGCCAAACCATGAAGGAATCTTGGGATGTAGAAATTAAAACGAGTATTAGGGTGAGAAAATTAATGAAACAGTCATAGGTTCAGACAAGTGATGAAGGAGTCCTAGGAAATCAATATAGGGATCTAATCTTAGGATAAGGAAAACAATGTCATGAAAAAAATGGAAGTCGCAAGGTTAAAAAATAAAATAGAAGTTCTATTATAAATAATGTCAGACTAGATTGTGACGAACAAAGAAGAAGCATTCAACGAGGAAAGAATATAAACGCCTTCGAAAGAGGAAACTAACGGAATAGTTTTAACATAAGAAAAATTTTATAGAAGTTTGAGGATGAAAAAAAAAATCTAAGGTGAAAAATAGAGAAGTATTATGGTGAGAAAAAAAATGAAGTACGACTTCTTGGATTTGGCAAACGCTGTAGGTTATTAGGATGAGGAAAACAATTCAGAAAATCTCAGATGAGGAAAACAATATAGGGGTCCTGTGATGAGACAAGACAAGAGGTTAAGGATGATGTAATCAATGAAGGGGGTTTTGGGGGAGAAAAGAAAGGCTGAAGTCTTAGGCTGAGGAAAGCAATGTAGAAATTTTAAGATAAGATAAGAAAAACAATATAAAAGTCTTCGGATGAAAAAGAAAATGTAGGAGACTTTAGGAGAGAAAAATAGAAGCGTGAGGATAAAAACAATAAAATAACAAATGGTGAATAATGTAGAACTATTGGAATGAAACAAATAATGTAGGCGTCTTTGGATGAGGAAAACAACGAAGATGTTCTGAGATGAAGAATACAATGTCAGAGTCTTAGAATTGACAAAAAAAAATGTAGCCGTTTTAGGACAAGGAAAACAACGTTGAAGTTTTAGTACGAAATGAACTATGTATCAGTTTTAGTAGAAAAACAACGTTACAGTTTTACGGCGAGGAAAACAATGTATCAGTTTTAGTTCGAGGAGAACAACTTTGAAGTTTTTAGACGATGAAAACACTGTAGCAGTTTAAGTACGAGGAGAACAATATAGCATATTTGTATGAAGAAAACACCGATAAAGATTTCAGTTGAGGAAAGCAATGAAGAGCAGTTTTAGGATGTGGAAAATAGTGTATTAGTTTTGGTTGAGGATAACTCAGGCACCTGACGTTACTTATTTTTCTTTTAATAAAAAAAATACATGTATACCCATACCTTATTAGGTATGGGTATATTTTTTTATTAAAGAAAATATATAAGTAACGTCAGGTGTTGTGGTGGATAGCGACGTTGAAGTTTTAGTACGAGGAGAACAATGTAGCAGTTTTAGGATGGAGAAATTGTATTCGCTGGATGGGCATAAACAATTCATTATTCCTTCATATTTATTTGTTTATTTTATGTATATGGATTCCACTTATAGTGAAAGCTGGGGCTGTGTTATTACATACTTGATACCCTTTGCCAACTGTGATTTGTTTTCGTTTTTGTTGGATAATTCTGATTGATTTAAGAATATATCACTCTCTTTAATGGACTTTCGCGAGAAGCTCTGACTTCTACAGTTGAGGCTTACCTTTACACTAGAACAATGGACGGAAACTCTTTAACGATGTAAAATATCAGCTCTACATTTAATTCAACGAAAACAGAGGGTTATTTCAAAGCACGAATCAGTTGTCCTTAAAGAAAACGACAACCCAAACTACCCTCAACTCCCGGCCTTCACATGTTAGTGCCCCTAACAACACTAGGGGCACTACCTATGACCTCAAGCAAGGGTTTCTTTTTTTTTATCAATTCTGTACCTTCGTACATGATACTTGTAGGTTGAAATGTCAAAGTAAATGTCAACTGTAAAAGTAAGAGCTTCTTACAAAATTCAAAAATAAGACGTGATCAAGTATTCCGACTCTTTAAATTATAGTAACTCTCACTGGTCTTTGGTATCATGTATTCAAAATTTCTTTCGTGGTTTCCAAATTTATGGTCTTTTGGACATAAGATAAATGTACGTTTACTAAAAAAGAAACGATTTTATAGTGATTTTGCCACACCACTTCCAGAATGACTACAGCCTAGAAAGAAGCTTATTAAATTTTCTAAGAACGCATCGTCGTCAGTTATAAGGGAATGTGCAGCTTTGTAGTTAATTTATTTATTTGTAAATGAATATTCAAAACTAGATGCTGTCATGAGACAGTAATACCCGCACTATGGTGTTTGCCTCTAAATACACCGCTGCATTTCATTTCCGGAAATATGCATAGCATTTCCGACAATTTTTTATTTCATTTCCGACATTTTTTGTTTTCATTTCCGACATAATATTCATTCCAAATTACCCTGCGGCAATTCAATGTTTTAAATTATTTTATACCAAAATATTGATACAAAATAATAATAATAATAATAATAATAATAATAATAATAATAAAAAACAGCTTTACATTTATGCATATATGTCAACTAAGTCTAGGTAAAGGAGTTCAATGAGCATAAAACTTTTTCAACACATTTAATGTGCACCAAATACACACTCCTTCATATTGGACTTTCCAAGGAAGAAGTCAAAATAATTCTATAATTATCACCGTACATGTATTCGTCAAATTGAACATAAAATTTTCAGGTGACCATATGATCTATGAGCCTCATATATGTATTTTGAATACTTAATTCATTACCAGACTGAAATAACAGAATTTAATTAATGATTGAAGTAAATTACTTAATTAGATTCAGATAAATATTTTGCCCATAATTTAGAACTTTTTAAATTTACTTTCTCAACGACATAAAATATTATTTTAGTACAAAGCGTTTTTGATGAATTTATCAAAATATGCAAACTGATTTCAGTACTTGGTCAGGAAAAAAACCCATTGAAAATACAAGGCCAAAATAAAAAATAACTGTTTCCCCTAACGCGACCGACCCAATTAAATCGCGCCGACTGAAAAGATTTTTTAGATAAGATGATTCAAAATTTTTTTTTATTGTCAACCAAGTTTTTATAAAATACAATCTCATCAAAATCAGTTTGTATCAGAACGGCCGACATTGTTCTGCTGTGATTTTCAAGCAAAGCATTTGATGGAAGCAAAATAGCGCCCAGATGTGATTACAGAGAAGTAGTTCTTCATAAAACAATGGCGATGTCTCAGTCTTATGCCTTTAGCTAACTAGAATTCTTCACTCTTTAAACAATTTGATAATAAAATTCACCATGACTAATTAAGAGTTTTTCGGAGGTGTCTTGGCATTTCCATGTGAGTGAATAAATTTTCGAAAGGGACGGTAAACAACGAACAAACAATTCTGTCTGTTGAATTTCAGGTACGTAATACATGGAAAGGCCCGCCTCATGAGCAGATGAGGGTCCCACATAGTGAACACATCATTCTTTCACTGCAATTTATTTAATTTGAGTTTTGATCTAAATAAACAATTCATCTATGTTCCTAAGTTTACTATATGCCATTATGGAATCATAGAAGCTGTTGTAAATATGTCTGCATATTCATCCAAATAAATGTTATTCAGTTGTACTTTTTCATGCCTTTATTTACGGGTAAATTTCATGACTATGGCATTGCTTTATAACCCTAGCATTTTACTCATTTGTAGATTCGGTTTGTTTCATTTAAATAATGTTTAAATACTCTTTCCAAATAGTTTAAAAATCATTAGTTAGCTTCCTGAGACGTCCAGTGTATTTTTCTTTAATTAGGCCCTTGAAGATTGGTTGTTTCTTTGCTTTTAATCCCTTCGAAATTTGTTGGGACGACATTTGAACATTTCCCCATTGCTCCAAATTTAGACGTACTACGCACTATTTTGCCAGTAAGCAGTGGGGATCTTTTTGAGCCAGTATTTTCTGCGACACTAGAATAAATTTTTATTGTCCCTTTTTAAGGATTTTTTTTTCAATGTTTCTCATTGGTATTTGAACCTGCGACTTAAAATTAGCAACTTACGTCTTAACTTCAAAGCAAAATGCTCTACAACCACTGCATATCTGATGGCCCTCAAAAAAGTACATTGGCTGTCCACAAGCACTGGAGGATGATTGAAGTTTTGAAAAAAAAATATACTCGAATGTTCAGTCTTTGCGTATTTGAGAATCTTGTCTTTTTTTTATTCGATTTATATAAATGTACTCAGGCGTGAGATATTTCATAAGTTCATCTAAATATTTCATAAGTTCATCTAAATTACAGTTGTGAATTAATTAATCATGAATTTTATTTTTAAATGGCATATATATGATACTTAGCATTTTGTTCACAAATCGCTTTCTTTCGTACTTTTCTTATTTATAAATATAACTTTCCATTAAATTTTAGAATGTATTTTCAAAGCTGCTGTCAGAAAAAATTGTTTACCTACCTACCGACCCAACTTGAGAATTTAGGGTCGGGTTATGGGAAACAAAGATATTTTTAATTCCGGCCCAACCCGATTAATTTGTCAATGCCTATCTCTCTCTCTCTCTCTCTCTCTCTCTCTCTCTCTCTCTCTCTCTCTCTCTCTCTCTCCCCTCCCCCCCCCCCACACACACACTCTCTCACTCTCACATTTTTTAAAAATAGACCTAGATGGCAAAGTTATGTTAAAACATAGTTTATTATGATAGTTTGAAAGAACTACATGCGGTATATTGCATATATTTGCCCCCCACAAAAGTTAAAAGTTGAAAACTTCCTGAAATGTGCTGAATTCAATAAATTGTATGAGAAATATAAATTAATAGAAAATATTATAGTTTCATAGCAGTGTATGCACAATTTTTGTTTTTATGACGTCACAAACTAGTCCGATGTTATATCCTTTCTGAGAAAGAGGACAAAATGGACAAAATTTCAACAATTTTAGCTTTAAAATTTATAGAGCGCAAGTTTGTTCAGGAACAATATTGACATATTTCATTAATATTATCATTCTACACATTATATCAAAATATTGATCCTGAACACACATGCGCTCCGTGACTTTTATTCAAAACACACACACATTAAAACTGAAATTTACGTCATGATTATCTCATTACTTACATATAACGTTATTACTTATGAAAATATTCAGTGATTTGAAGTCAGCATATACTCCCCTGTTTAAGAACTTAATTAAATATATCTCCATCAAAGTTTGATTTGGGGGGCAAATATTGGTTATTACCGAATAAAGTTCTTTGTTCTTGTACTAAACAGTTTTACGTGTGAACATCTTATTTTCTACATTCACATTGGGTTTGCGTCACCCATTATCATATTTATAGATATCACCTCTCGGCACACCTCGGCCGATTCATACTGGCAACGGAATCAGCAAAGGTTTGTCGAATGAGATTATTTAGCACATGTATGCTGACGATGCAGTGTGGTCAGTTAAAATCATTTGTGTTTTAATTGGATTATATGGATTATATTTCATGAATTCGTTGTCACGACCTGACATTCGGTAAGTACAAGATTTAGTATAGATTGCATAAAAATAAATAAATGCAAATGGTTAGGTTGAAGTTCAAAAAGGGTCAAAGATCATCGCATGCCACAGTCGACAAATTTCACATTGTCAAGTTATCTCCCGTTGCGGACATTCAGTATATACAGGCGCAGATCCAGAATTTTTTTTTTCAGAAAGGGGGGGGGGGGGTTGGGGTCACACCTCAGTCAAAAAAATCAGCCCAAGATTTCCTGAGAAGCATATAAAAAATAATAATAAAAACAATGATGGTGGAGTCCCTGTTTTCTAAGGGGGAGGATGTCCAAAGTCATTTTTATTCTCTACAGTACATAGTCTTATTTAAATAACTGCTAATTCTGGGGGGGGGGGTCTGATCTCCTTAGCCACTGACTCCCTGTACCTGAAATGACAATTGATCTTATGACTCCATAATAGTAGAAAATTTTTTCATTTGACTATATATACATATTTTGTTTCCTATGTTTATGTATGTTTGTCTGTCCACAGAAACTTTAACCTTGCCCATAAGTTTTAAGTGGATTGGGCTATACACATGTCTTCAACATTTCATACTAGGTAAATTTTTTTTGGCAAAACCTTTTAATGGGTACCACCAATTTTGACCTCTTGATCTCTTGACCTTGGAGTTTGACCCACTTTTACAAGAAAAATACCTTAAACTTGGCCTAAGTTTTGAACAGGTGGTGCTAGGACTTTCATGCTCTAACATGTGTAATCATTGTGAACTTTCAACAGGTATAATTATTTTTGACCTAGACCTTAGAGTTGAACCCAATTTAACTTTAACCTTGGCAATAACTTTTGAACAGGTGAGGAAGTTCTAGGGATTTCTCTCTTTTTTCACATGTGTATTCCTTGTGACAAGACTTTCCCTTTGATACCAACAATTTTGACCCTTTGACCTTGACCTTGGAGTTTGACTTACCGGTACATTTGAGAAACTTCAACCTTTGCCAAAAGCTGCCATAACAGTTGCTGTCACAGCAAACAAACAAATTACTAAAAAAACACAGTATACATGTACATATTTTATATTCAACAGATATACATCTGGTCATATCTCTATTTCTCCCTTGAATGAGACATGGTGATATAAATTTTAAAAAATAATTATGATAAGAGTTGAAAAGGTTGTGCATATTAAAATATACTAAGCTCTGCGGATGAATTAGATATACCAGTTTAGCTTTATTTTGCTACCCAAAGCACCTTGATTAACTATTTATAAGCATACTGTTTTCTGAAATGTACTGATTTCTGTTGTCCATCTGTTTGTCTGCAAACTTTTCACATTAACTTCTTAAGAACCACTGGGCCAATTTCAACCAATTTACATTTAAATATGCAGGGGACTTTTTCCACATAAATCTTCTTCTCAAGAACAGCAAAGACATTTATTGTCCCCCATTTTCGCTAAAGGTAGGGTACATTAAATCTCATTTGTTTGTCAATCTGCCCATCTGTCACAATAAATTTAACCTTGGTCATATGGTCATATATTTTGAATGAGAAGAGACAGGACTTTTATATTAAACATGCGTATTAGTATTAAATGGGACAATACCATTCTAAATACACTATGATTTTTATTACCCATGACCTTGAAGTTTGACCTAATTTCATGAACAAATTAATTGCTTTAAATTGATCATTTTGAAAGATAAATGAAAGGGCATTCATATTACCTGTGATAAGACCTTTCCAAATGTATCATGACTTTTTGACTCTGTGACCTTGACCTTGAAGTTTAACTTAGTTTTCATTAATGTTGTATTTCCTTTTCATTGAGAAGAGATTCGACTTTCACATTTCAAGTGAATATTACCCATAACAAGATGTTTCCCAACATGCTATGATTTTTTACCCCTTGACCTTGAGGTTTTAAAAAAATTTCAAAAGAGTGAACTCTCCCAAAAGAGGATAAGACCACTGTTTAAAACGAAAAAGGAGTTTAGGGAAGACTGGGCTTTTTCCATAAAAAACGTCATTTTTTGACCCTCATTTGACCCCCCGGGCAAAATCAAAATTCTGAAACCTAACTGCACTTCTACATGACCCCACCAACCATCTCCCAAAAGATGATTAGGCTGCTGAATAAAATGTAAGAGGAGTTCAGGGAAGATGGGGCTTTTAGCATCTAAAAAAGTCAGTAAAATGTAAGATCGAGGGAATTTACCTACAGTAAGATACCTTCAATGGGAATCGCCATTTTGCAACCATTCTTGCGATTGTCAATAGGATCCAGACATAACATCGATTATTTAAATTGGCAGACTGGGGTTTGACAATAAATAATCATTCTTAATTGTTTAATTTAAATGACAAATGGTTTATTTTAATGCACCTTTAGATCACATTGCATGCAATTATTGTATCAAAATCAGCTGACTGCAAAAAAAGAATGCGATTTTCGTTTTCCTGAAAATCAATTAGAAATCATAGGAAACAACTTTCTTTTAATTTCTGTAATTTTTGCCCCCTGCCATTATGAAAATCTCATTCATTCGCTCATCTGCCCAACTCTAATAAAAAATTTAGCCTTTAGGAGTGAATTATTGCCTTCAAATTTCACATGTGCATTTCTTCAAAAATATTCTATGATTTCTTACCACGTGACCTTGGCTTTCAAATTTTTACTTCTTATCAAAAGTACTTTTAAAATAAGACTTGAGAAGATATCCACCGGTAATTTTCATATTTCATCTGTGCATTTCTTGTGAAATCTATTCCAAATATACTTTGACTTAAGACCTCAAACCCTTGGGGAAAAAATCAACTTTTGATAATTAACTGTTATAACTTCTAATTGAGAAAAGAGGGTTACTATACTGAACTTGTCAATAATGAACGTTATAATAGTACACTCTAATTACTTGTCATTGTAGATGGGCTTTTCTGTTGTAGTGATCGGAGGTGTACAACAGAAGTCTCCATGTTGTCCACAACAGCCATGTTCACAATGGACGTAAGTTCGTAATTTGTAAATCATTCCGAAGCTATTCTGTCTGTAGGTGATTCTCGGGCACTCGTATCCTTCAGCATAATGTACGACTAAAATAAGTAGAAATAAAAAACAAAAATAAGTAGATATACAAAACTAAAATAAGTAGAAATACATAATATCGATAATTTATTCTGGATATTTGATGTATAGAACTAATAGCTTATACTGAATTTCTATTACTGAGGACTATTTAGTTATATTGAGAATCTATTACTAATGACTATTTAGTTATATTGAGAATCTATTACAGAGGACTATTTAGTTATATTGAGAGAATCTATTACAGAGGACTACAGAGGACTATTTAGTTATATTGAGAATCTATTACAGAGGACTATTTAGTTGTACTTAGTATTGAGAATCTATTACTGAGGACTATTTAGTTATATTGAGAATCTATTACTGAGGACTATTTAGTTATATTGAGAATCCATTACTGAGGACTATTTAGTTATATTGAGAATCTGTTACTGAGGACTATTTAGTTATATTGAGAATCTATTACTAATGACTATTTAGTTATATTGAGAATCTATTACTGAGGACTATTTAGTTATATTGAGAATCTATTACAGAGGACTATTTAGTTATATTGAGAATCTATTACTGAGGACTATTTAGTTATATTGAGAATCCATTACTGAGGACTATTTAGTTGTATTGAGAATCTATTACTGAGGACTATTTAGTTACATTGAGAATCCATTACTGAGGACTATTTAGTTACATTGAGAATCCATTACTGAGGACTATTTAGTTATATTGAGAATCCATTACTGAGGACTATTTAGTTATATTGAGAATCCATTACTGAGGACTATTTAGTTGTATTGAGAATCTATTACTGAGGACTATTTAGTTATATTGAGAATCCATTACTGAGGACTATTTAGCTACATTGAGAGTCTATTAGTGAGGAGTACTAAGATACATTGAAAATCTATTACTGAGGACTATTTAGTTACACTGAGTATCTATTATTGATTGAGGACTAATTAGTTAAATATTACCTAGGACTGACTGATGACTAAGAAGTTATACTGAATCTCTTTAATTAGCTGGGGACTAGAATAGTTTTATGAATATTACTGAGGACTAATAAATATTACTGAATATTTTTTTACTAGGCAACAATTAGTTATACTGAATATCTTGAGGACTAATAAGTTTTTTCAGTATCTCTGATTTTGGACTAATTAGTAATACTGAGTATCTATTACTGAGGACAAATTAGTAATGCTGAGTATCTTTTAATGAGAACTAGTAAGTTATATTGATTATTAATTAATGAGGACTAATTTCTTTTACCTAATATTTATTATTGAGGACTAATGAATATCTATTACTGACGATTAATTTGTTATACTGAGTATCTTTTAATAAGGACTAAATAGAATATCTATTACTGAGGACTAATTTGTTAAACTGAGTATCAATTAATAAGGACAAATTAGTTTTACTGAGCTTCTGATACTGAATCACTCGAATTCAGGTGCATAAGGTACTTGTACAATCAACATTAGTAAAGACGAAGTTTTACTATAAAGATAAATAATATATTCTGGGTTACACTTACTGATATAGTATACTACAAAGTTTACTTCAGTATCATTGATTCCGAAGACTAATTAATTATCCTAGGTACGGTGTCTAATACCTGAGATTATTTAGTAATCTTGAGTATTTGCTTTCAAATTTTAAATTTGTCATCCAGAGTTTCCAATATATATGGAACGCCATCACTGCCTTATAGCATACAACTATGCATTTATTATGTCAGTTTATGATTACGTGATGTGAACATATTTTTACGTTATATCCATTTTTTATGAGATGATGTAAATATATCTTAACATGATGTCAATGCTGCATTACATGAAGTAAATAACTCCTTTCATTATGTCAGCACTTCATAACTTGAAGTAAAAAATTCATTATGTGAAGTGATAATGTGTTTACATTGTGTTAAAACTTTATTACGTGAAATGAATGCTTCTTTACATCATTTCATTTCTTTAATATGTGAGGTCAAAATTGCATTACGTCAAGTAAATTGTGTTTTATAATTAAACTTATCATTACATGAAGTCAAAAGCCCATTCCTTTTTGAGAGTGTATATTTCTATTATATCAAAGCATTATTACGTGATATGGATTTATCTTTATTTTACGGCGAGGGCATCATGATGTGAGGTGAACACATCTTACCTTTATGTCAGTGCTTTATTACGTGGTGTAAAAATGTATAACATAATGTGAACATATCTTTATATTATATCAATACTTTATTACATTATGTCAAAACTCCATTCCGTGATGTGGATATATAATTACGTTATGTCAACTCTTTCTTATGTGATTTAAAAATATCCTTATATTGTGCTAACTCTTTATCATGTTGATTCCAAAAGTTCATTACCTGATGTTAAAATACATTTACATTATCTCAAAGCTGTATATCTAGTATATAATGAATGTTGACGACCGTGTGTTAATGACTGGTAAGAAGGGGGGTGGGGGGGGTCCTGATTGATTAGGATAAATTACAGGCACATAATATCACCCCCCCCCCCCTCTTTTCCCAGACATAACTTTACTATAGAAAATGTAATGTTCATTGAAACTGTACAGCCCCCCACCCCCACTTCTTGTTGAAGTATACACTGTAGTCCACTAAGGGTAATGTAATATATCTGAGAAAAAATGGGACTGATTGAAGTTGGACCCCTCTCCCCGAAATAGGATTTTCGGGCTTGGACTTTTTTTCTTGGCTTGTCAAGTTTTTTGGGTAAATGATTTTTTTTCTGGCTGTCCTCCTCTTTCAAAAAAAAGATGCTACGTCACTGGAGTTAGTAATTTTTTTTAATCATTCCAGGGCCAGAATTCTATTACAAAAATCTACCAGTCGCTCATCTAAATCAATTGAATATGCCTTAGTAAGCATGCATGGGCACATATCAGTGGCAGATATGGGAATCCTGAACAAGGAAGGGGGCGGTATATGGTTGGAGACCAAGGGCGGAAAGCGGAGAAGCTCTCAGGCTTTATAGTTTCATAGAAAAAAGTTTTCAACTTAATTCAGCTAAACTTAATGTGAAACTAATGCAATGTCCTACAAAGTTTAAGACTTTTATTAAAAAAAAAAAAGTTCAAAATAAAAAGAAAAAAAAATGATTGCTGCACGACTCATAATATTTGATTTATTTAATTATCAGATACAAGTAAACACCATTGAATTTCGACGTGACTTTAATTCACAGTCGCAGTGTAAAGGCTTTGCATGTTTCAAGATTGTCAATCATTTGTCGCTTAAAGTTTTCATTTAAAGATGTCATTCCGAAATCGCTGAGAATCTCTTCTACGACAGTTTTCTCTCCCGCCATTTTTAGTGCTTGCGGAACGCGGAAAATACGTTATGCTCATATAAAGGCCGAGGATACCCGTGTTCGCATAACGTAATAGTGAATCGACATAATGTAGAAGAGTGCGCACAGTATGGTATGAGCTTTTCACATCAGTTAATAAAAACTAAGATTGTCATGAAAAGTAAACATAACGAAATGCAAGTTGACGAAATAAAGTTGTAGTATGTGTAAATGTCATGAAGAGTTGACATAATGTAAAGAAAAGTTAACACGATGCAATAGTAGTGTGGGTTAATGTTATAAAGAGTTGACATAATGTAATGGAAGGTTGACACAATGCAATAGTAGTGTGGGTTAATGTCATAAAGACTTGACATAATGTAATGGAAGGTTGACACAATGCAATAGTAGTGTGGGTTAATGTCATAAAGACTTGACATAATAAAATGGAAGGTTGACACAATGCAATAGTAGTGTGGGTTAATGTCATAAAGAGTTGACATAATGTAATGGAAGGTTGACACAATGCAATAGTAGTGTTCTGCTATAAGGCAGTGACGGCGTTCCATAAATATACCAAAAATTAATTAAAGCAATATGAGCTGCATTTCTGAAATTTTTATTTTGCTGTTAAAATATGACGTTTAAGAAAATCTGTATACCAGTATAAACAAACCTTTATGATAAATAAGAACAAAATTACATACTAAATTGTTTCTGTAAACAGAATTCTGTACAATGGAATGTATAGTATTATATAAGAAATCAATATTGTACAGGACGACATTATAATGTATGCTTTGATCAAAGCTTATAAATAGTTCTACTACAAATATGAACGACTAAAATCTATTTATGTTCTTTTTTTATGATCAATGTATTGTAATAGTGAATTATAATATTGTATAAACAAAAATTTACAACATCAAAGTTACATGCAGCTCTTATTGCTTTAACTAATAAGAGGAATTAATAGTTATACTGGGTATTTGATCAATATCAGTTACTTAACATTTTACCGTACGCATGAAACGTACGCGCGAAATTTCCATTCAAGATGACTGGAATACTTGGAGTTGATTGTGTATATTATAGGCTTTACTCCCTTCCATTTATCCTCAGGACGTATCGTTTTCGCTCGTAAGACTTTAAAAAACATACTTTGGAAACTTCAACATGGCTAAATTAGGAATGTCGTTTAGGTATTGGAAATGGAAAATGTTAAGTAATTAATTAAATTTAAATTCTTCATTGTACTTAATATTATAATATTATAATATCATACCTTCAGTCAAGAAGAATACCAGTTTCAACATAAGAAAAGGCCAGATTTCCATTGCTAAAAATTAAATTCCTTTCCGAGATCACATAATTGTTACAAATGCGTTGTTTGGACCCAGTCGTGGAAAGATGTCACACATCAGCAAAGTGCACTATTGATTAAAATACGGATGTTAGTATGGTACCCATTCAGCGTGAAATTACAATGAATTTGGAAAACTTTCAAGAATTCAGATAGGTAATAAAATCCATGAATTTTAAATGATGCCTGTATTATTTTCAAACATCGCATGTCTACGCCGAATCTTTCATGACCCCAAAACAATAAGGCGAATTCATAATTTACACGTGACAATTACATGTAATACAGAAATGGTTTGTAAGGTATAAAGAAACTAAATATTGTTCTTTTGATACTTATAAAATTGCATCTTTTTCATGACTTTCAAGCTATTATTTTGATAAAGCTTTAGGGTAACTTTAATATGGTGCAATGATGAGACTTGTAAGATGCTGTGTCTCACCTCAAATGTATTCATCTCAAATTTGTGACATTCCGAAACAAACCAAACAAAAATATGGTTTTGCTTTACGCCTTATCGTTATCAATTCATTTTGATTGAACATTCTTTTATATTTTATCTTGCATTTATATGAAGCGGAATTTATTCAATTTGTTTCACATTGTAAAAATTAAACTCTCTTGCTGTGGCCTTCAGTTTAACAGTTAGATATATCAATCAATGTTTTATCAGTTAACAATTTTCATCTTCAATTCTACATTGATTCGATTTATCCCTTTGAACTCAAAATATGTTACATTGTACCACAGAATCATTTGTTTCATACTTTTGGATAAGACCAGAAGATAAGACATCGATAATGGTAACCTTACAACAAACCTCTGTAATAAACGTGATTATTTTTTTTTTTCAATTTTAAAGGTTTAAGAAGTTTAGTACCTGTGAATGGAAGTGGTCAAATATTTTCATTGTTTGGCATCAAAACACAAAAATTATTGTGCATGAGACAATTATTAGTAACTGTATTTGAAATGTCTTTTTACAAGTAAAAACAAATATGGACTTCGAGATACAAGTGGTTTGATTTTATAATAAGAGGATTGCCTCAAACAGGCACAGTGATTCTAAATTTCCCTTGTAAAGTCAATTTTACAAATGTTGTATAAACAGAACTTCTTCATCCGATACACTAAGGTAACATTTCATAATTATTCAAAAAACAAACAATGGACATACAAGGCTTCAACTCTTCTGATATTTTTTACTTCTTTAATTGCATTTCTATAAGTATTAACCAAAATTGCACTGGCAAATTCAAAAGAACCAGAATGCATATGCAAAACATGAGCAAACTGACAAACTCTTCAACAAAATCCATCTGTACTTTTAATTACTAACCACTCAAATATCTTCCATGCAAATGACAACACCATCTAACAACTTACAAATATCTATTACTGTTAAATGTATTCTCTTTCATATTGTAAATTTGAGATTTTT